CACACATTGTGCATAATGTGGTTCGTGGCCTCTGTTTGCTTTGTTGCTCCAGAGACGTCTTGTGGATGCATTCCATGCCCTTGTTTTTGGGTGCAACCCCAATCCTGAAGCTACTGAGGACAGCGGGAGTGACGGTAATGAGAGTGACGATCACAGTTACAACAAAGATGAAAATGATGGCAATCTCCATGCCGATGAGGATGGCGAGGAAGACGAGGATGAAGTGGATGAAGAGGAGGAGGGGGGGGAAGATGATGATGATATTGACGATGAGGAGGATTTGACCGAAAGCACAGAGAACAGGCAGAAGAGGGGAGCTGGTATGGGAAGGAAGGGCTCGGAGCGGATATGCACTGGTGATGGCACTGGTGGTGGCAGATGCGGCAGCAGTGCCAGGGCACGACAGCAAGCGCATGAGCCGATTGATCGCAGGGCTCTTCAGGTATAATTTTTCTTTCTTTTTTTGCCCCCCCAGAATCCAGATCTTTTTTTTTGTAGCACTTCTGGTAACAAGCTGCCTGTATTCACAATTTCACACTCAGATTCTTCTTCTGAATATGTTAGGGATTGTTGAGGGTTCGAACTCTGAACATACGGTTTGGTTTGGATGCACGAAATCCAAATTTCTGAAGGGGGGGTTCTGAACCCCTGCAAGGATTTGAATTTGGAGCATTCCGACCCAGTTGTTCAGAGAAGCCTTCAGAAATTTCGATTTGCGGTTTTTAGTAACTTTTTACAACTATTTCGAATTTTCTTTTCTTGTACGGTGGCGCCCTGAAATCCTCAGAATTCCATCTAAAGGGGTTTGTGAGCCCCGCAACCCCTTTTCAATTGTGCAGAACCCCTTTGAGCTGAATGGCTGGCAGTTCAACCCTGCCAGCCGTTTTCAATCAAGAACCAAATGTGTGTATGTTCAGCCCTGTTTAGGGGCGATTCAGGGGGCAATATTGTCATTAAACTCGATGATTAAAGGCATAGGGAGGCAAGGCTGTATATTCAACGGTTTCTTGAACTTCTTTCTCTTTTTCTTTTTTCTTTTTCTTTTTTTTTTTTCTTTTTTTTTTTCTTTTCTCTTTTCTTTTCTTTTCTTTTCTTTTCTTTTCTTTTTTTTTTTTTTTTTTTTTTTTTKTWAYTTYKTWTKTGGGAAAACCCACTTAACGAGGTGATAAGAGCAGCCTCGTTAAGTGGGCCCTAGCATCAAAGTTTCCGTCTATTGGTGGGGAGCTGCWCCTGCTGGAAATCGGGTCCAGCGTCCCTGTWCAATGATATGATGAGTGTCAGCTGGAAAATGAGTCCAGCGTCCCTATAGAATGATTTGTGAAAGTGTGTTGGTGTGCGTCCAATACTACGAGCTTATGATTATATTCATACATTCTGCAACAGTTATACTGCAGAGGCATTGATTACTCCCCAGCATCAGGGAAGGATTGACCTCCTGCCATCAGCGCCAAACCCTAATGAAAAGCATCCCCATCAAACACCCCGACAGACAATCATCCAGCAGCCCAACAAACTATCATCAAACGCATAGCAAACAGGTCAACCATACTAAACCCTAAACAGCCCACCTCCCGCCTGAGGGGCGACCAGCATCCCATTTTGATTGAAATTGACGGGGCAACACCAATCAAACATCGACTATCCGACTGCAATAAATCGCAGTTTCCCAGTGGGACTGTACAATAAGTGTTCTTCTTTGTAGTTTGTTTTCTTGTTTTGAGCCTTGCAGGACTTGATCCCGTGACCTGTAACCTGTGTGTTTTGTTTGTGAGTGTTGAGCCTATGGGACTTGATCCCTGAGTCTGTCACTACTACTCACTAGTGGTCTCTGTTTGGTAGCCTTCGGCCATTCGGCCTTTTCCTTTTGCCTTGCCATAGGTCTAGGTCCCCTTTTCCCCCTGTTTCCTTCTAGATGCAGATGAGTATTGAGTTGTTTCCTTTGGAGTCCCTCGTAGGTCTAGGCAGAGGGTAGAAGTAGCGGGCAGGAAATTAGTTTCCGGTCTTTTCACGTTTTTTGCTGGCTGGGGGAAACTCTGCCCGTCCGTTGTTGGAGCGCTGCTGCTCTATTTTGGGCGAGGTCATCTTCTTCCTCGAAGCCCAGCCATAGCTGGGGTTGGGAAGCGAAGTTGAAGATCGCACTGCTGCTATTTGGCAGCTCTGCATGAGAACTTCCACCGGACTGTGTTGTTGTGTTTGGGCGCTGCCATTTTCCACTTGGCAGCCATATCTGCTGTTCGTCCCCACGAGGAACTTCGTCTTCTTCGAAGTGCTGGATCGGTTGTCTCCTTCTTCATCAGGACTTCCAGCGCTGCACTTCCGTGCGGTGCTGAGCTGGCGCTGTTATCATCGGGGTTGCTGGTTCAGATTGGCACGTTGTGACAGCTGTGGGGTTACTGCTGCTACGGCAGCCATAGCCAGGGGTATGAGGTGGCGAGGAGGAAGAAGAAGACTCCTGCATGCATACTTCGTTGAACACTTGTTTCTGGTTGTTCGGGGTTGTTGTAAACAAACGCGGTTGTGATTCTTGGAACAAGTACTCTGGAGTCTGGATTGATTGGAGGAGGAGGCCGGGGGATAACAGAATTGAAATTTGTTTTTCAATTCTCTGTGTATTTTGAGCTTCCGCTGTGCATATCTTCTCTCCGGTTTTGTGTGGATTTGCCTCCTTCGAGTCTACTCTGCAATTGCATGCATGTATGGGAATGTGTGAATTCGTTGTGGAGTGAAGTTCAATCGGGTACATAACACTACTCCTATCTGCTGCCAAACAACGAGGACGTTGAGGAGCAATTCCACATCGATATTAAAAGGGGGAAGAATAATAACAGTGTAACACGCTTTTTTTCACCCCCAATCCCCTCCCCGCCATCCCCGTTAGATCCCGGAATCTCTCCCACCGTGCTGATGATGAAATTGGTTGCACGAATAACGCTGCTGGTTCCGCCACTGCCGCGGTCATCGTCACCAATATTAATATTGTCATTGTCATTATTGTTGTTGCCGCTGTAGCCATCACCATCGTTGTAGTTGTTGTTGTTGTGGTTGTTGTGGTTGTTGTTATTGTTGTTGCTATTACCGTCAGCCCTGACCGCGCCGTCGTTGTTGTCATTATCATTGATGACGATGTCTCTGTTGTTGTCGTTGCTATCTGTTTTATTCCTGCGGTTGTCATCATCTCTATGGATGTCACTGTTGAACCTTTTTTTCAAAGGTATATTTCATGAACTGCCTTCCAAAGTAGTGAAAATACGGGCTTGGCCGGTCTCCAACTCTCTCTCTCTCTCTCTCTCTCTCTCTCTCTCTCTCTCTCTCTCTCTCTCTCTCTCTCTCTCTCTCTCTCTCTCTCTCTGTGCTGCTGAGGATCACAACCCTGGATACATCTGCCTCCATTCGTGCGCTACAACTGCGCAAGGATGGCACAGCGCTGCTCAGCAGGGCTTCTTAGCGCTCAGTCCACTCGCAATACCGCACAAGCACCAACAGCGCTTCCACCTTCCTGCGAATGAGCAATCTGTTCGCATGAGGCTGGGCCAGTCTTCTTCTTGCCTTGGACTGGGCGTCTACTTCACTTGGCCTTTGCTTGACTTTGACTGGTGTCGGTCGCCTGCGGCCTGTTTGCTTTTGGAATATTGGACCCCGGTACCTTCCAGACTTTCCTTGGAGCGCTGCTGCATTTTGACTGTGGGACTGGACATGCGGGGGGCCGGGTACCCGTTGAATTTTGACCCATGTGGCTTGTTGGGTACCCGACTCAGCACTTTTTCTGTTTTGGCCTTCTCGGCCTGTTTTGACTTGGGGACCTTGATCCCCTGGGACTCGAATTTGGGGTCTGCAAAGTGAAAATGCCTTTCATCTTCGTGATGTGGTGTCTACTCTGATGTGCTTGCCAGCTGGCTTTTCCCTTGCATGACACGTGGATTGTTCTTCGTTTTCCATCTTTGGTGTTTCTATTCCGTGGTCTAATATGCACAGCTCTATTTGACTGCATGGATGGCAGAACCAGAAGTCAACAAACGGCGGTAAGTGGGGTACTCGTGCACACATTCATCTTCTTCTTCTTTTCTTTTTTTTTAAATAATTTGCCCATTTGGACCATTTCTCAATTTGTGCGTGTCATCCTTGCGCAGGGGCCATGCTAATCTATATCTTCTCTGTATCGTTCCAATTTTAATGGATGTCCCGAAGGACGCATTCATCTCTTTTTTTATGTTGTTGTCGTTCAGGTTTTTTTTTTTTTTTTTTTTTTTTTTTTTTTTTTTTTTTTTTTTTTTTTTTTTTTTTTTTTTTTTTTTTTTTTTTTTTTTTCCCCACCTCCCCCCCCCCCCTTCTTTTTTCCTCCCCAACCCCCGAAAAAGGTCTTTTTTCCCCCCCTCCCCCCCCCCCCCCCCCCCCCCGGAAACAAAAAACAAACGAATCTCTTCGTTGTGGCTTCACCTGTCTAGCATCCGCATTGAATTGAGGGAGAAAGGATGCTATTGCAACTCTTCAAGGCTGAAGGATTCCCTGAGATTACTGTTAGCCGGAAACGAAATCCAGACTCCCAGCGCGCTCTTTCGAGCCACATTTCTTTGTAGAGGCTCGCTCGAGCGGAAAGGTCTGGCCAGAGTGGTTGGAGATACTCGAAGAGACTCACCAGAGTCGTAACTGTATGATATTGGGCGACTTCCTGATTGGAGTCATCCATCCTGCATGAGGTTATTCATTACTCAAGTTGGAAAGCCGTGTGATGTAGGACATCTTGCATGGTTTGGTGGGCACTTTAAATCTGCAGTTTTTATAATGCCATTGCCATCGATGTCTGCATGTCCAGGTACATATCCTGCCCCTGGTCATCTGCAACCTTGTGGTACATTCATATGATGGCAGTCTTGGAATTTAGTTCCTTTTTTTCCTGCTTCTTTTTGAGAAAAAAAACATTGTTTTTTCCATTTTAAAGTCTAAGCTGGAAACCGGGTCCAGCGTCCCTTTGATCTTAAAAAACCTACTCACTGAATGCTTCCCTTCGTTATGCTCATGGGATCAATCCTCAGAAAGCAGCATCGATTCCTTCCTGTCTCAGGAAGGGATGTATTTAATTTGTATGTCACCGACGGCTTGAACCCTGCTTGCTTAGACCTTTTCAATTTCGAGCTTGGTAAAACACCTCCTCCTTAGTCAATGCGTTTTTTTTTTTTTTTGGGGGGGGGGGAAGGGGGGAAGGGGAGTAATGCCACTAACTTTGCCAGACTTGTGCTCCTGTCCTCTGCCTGCCATTGCATTACCGTCTCTGCTGCCTTTTAATCTTTATCCTGCTGCTGTTTATTCTTCGCCGTCCATGTAGTCTTCACTCCCCTCTCTTTGTTCCAATCTTCCTGTGAAAGGCCTTCCACGACTCAGACCCCAAATTCAGACTTCAGGGTCAGGGAAAGGCCGAGTTCGTCAAACTCAGAAAAGTCACAATCGGGTACCTCAGCAGTCTGGTCCAACAGGCTCCCAGCAAACAGTCACGTCTCATAATAAAAACCATTCAGAGGAGTCACATCCCACGAGTGAAAAGGCAGATTCACCAAGCAAGAGTCATGTCTCAAAGGTAGGAGTCACGTGTCCTAATGAAAAGTCATATTGAAGAGACACATCCACGAGTAAAAGGTAGAATCAAAGGCAAAGGTCGTGCGTGACCCACAGGCAGGAGTCACTGTTCACAGTCAAAAGTCATGTTCACAAGTGAAAAGTCATGACTCAAAGGCCCAAGCAGCAGCAGTCCAATGGAAATTCGGGAAGGTTCYAGGCCTTGACATTCAGTAGCAGACAGGCCGTGGGGATGTGGTACCGGAACCAGTCAGGACCCAAGAAACAGAGGCTGGCACGAGTTGAAGTGCAAACCAAGACTACAAAAGGACTGGCCAGCCTCACATTCAGGCAGGTTGCTCATTCGCAAGAAGTGTGGAAGTGCTGGTGCACTTGTGCGCTGAAGTGAGGAGCGGAGCGCTGAGGCCAGAGTGCTGCGCTAAGTGAGGGAGAGAGAGGAAGATAGCGCTGGCAGGGAGAAGGCAGCCATAGCTGCGCCAGTGCAGAAGCGTTAGTGCTAGTTTTTAGTAGTAGACTCCAGAGGGGTTAGTAGAGTTGACAGTGGGTGTATTCAGAGTAGATCCATGAAGTAGCAGATAGTGAGTGTGAATGCTAGGTATATAACTAGCCATAGGCTTCTAATCATACTTGCAAGCGCACATCGTGCGGGCGGTTCCTGACGTGCGGTGCACGGGCCCAACCGATCCCGTACGTCGTGCGGGGAACGACCCGTCACGCCCCCTGAGAAAAAAAGAAGGCTGGGGGTCGAAATGGTGTGTTCGAGGCCCCCCGCTAAAATTCTAGGGCGATGAAAGAAAAAAATGCAGGATTGCTGCCTCACCTCGCTCCTCCTCCCCTTCCTTGTCCTCCATGTCTCCTCCACCCTTCTCCTTTTCGTCTCCTCCGACTCGTCCTCCTCCTCCCGTTCGCCTTCCTCCTCCTTCCCTTCCTCATCTCCTTGTCTCCTCCTCCTCCTCGTACTTACTCGTCTTCCATGCCTCCTCGTCTCCTTCCCTTCCTCGTATCCTCCCCTTCCTTGTGTCCTCCGCCTGGCCGCCCATGTCTCCTCCTCTTCCTGCCCTTCGTCTTTTCCCTTTGTCCATCTGTTCTCCTCCCCCATCTCTCCTCCTCCGTCTCCTCGTCGTCCTCGCTATCCTCGTCGTCCTCCTCGTCCACATCCTCCTCCTCCTCTCCATAACCCCCTCTCCTTGCCATATCCCCATCTCCCCGTCACACGCCCCCTGTCCCCCCCCCAAATAATAATAATAATAATAATAATAATAATAATAATAATAATAATAATAATAATAATAAAAATAAAAAACCTGCACGATTCCGAACAGGCACCCCCCGCACGGAACTCCGCACGTAACTCCTCACGAATGTGCGGCTCGTGCGGTTGCAAGTATGCTTCTAATCCGTTGTAGTCTGATAGATGAATGGTGGTCCCGTGGTACAGACTGTAGCCACCCTGGGTTTGTTTGCAGGTGCTGCTCCCACCTTGCTGAAATGGCTTGCTGTGGGCTTTCTTAAAGTTTCTTCCTTTTTTTTTTTTCTTCTTCTTCTTTTTTTCGAGTAGGTTTTCTGACTTACCCCTAGCTTTGTATGCTGGTTTTACAATATAGTCATGCATGGCTACCCATTTTTCAGCCCTGGTCCTTCCCTTTTTTGAAAAAAAAAAGTGATTTCGATTCATCTAGTTCCATCATCTGGACTCGAACTCTAGGTCTGTATTTCAACAGTTCATGGGTGTACCAAGTTACCAACTGAGCTAGGCTTGTTGGTGCCCCTTCCCCCTCCCGTATTCTCATGCCATCCCCTTTCTGCTGGGTCTACTTCTAAGTCCGCTTTTTATGTCCTTGTCTGGTGACTCTGGTCTGAATAGCCACATGCGTTCCTCCTCCTTTTTTACCTCGGGACATTGGGTGCATTGCTTGTTTGTGATAATTTCTGAGCTCGCGGATTCTTCTGAGTTTTTTTTTTTTTTTTTTTTTTTTTTTTTTT